CACGGGAGACGGGGCCCAGAGCGTGGCTTCTAGTGGGCCCTCCGACGGCCCTGAGCATATTCAAGTCTGAGAACCCCAATGTCATTTACCCTGAGGTCTAAGGATGGAGGGAGGGTAGAGAAATGCCACAGCCAGAAACCACGGGAGGCACAAAGCCTGCGTGGGCGAGGAGGGGCGTGGCACGTCCAGAGAAGTTCAGGGGAGCAGGGCGAGCCCCTGAGGCACGACGGGCGATGGCGAGCAGGAGGGTGGGCATGCTGCACGCTGCAGGCTCCCTCTTCCAGTCAGCTTCACGCTGTTTCAAGAATACAAGGACACGAGCATTCTGCTTAAAAAGGAAGGAAATTCCTACACAGGCGACAACATGGATGAACCCTGAGGACATCGTGCTGAGTGCAACGAGCCAGTCACAGAACACGGCGTGAGTGCCCGGACGTGAGGGGCCTGGAGGAGTCGAATCCAGAGGCAGAAAGAAGAGGGTTGCCGGGGTCGGGGGGAGACGCGGAGGGAGAGCTGTTGTGTAACAGCATCAAGTCTCAGGTTCACAAGAGAAGGCCGGCCGCACACGGATGCAGACGTGTTTAACGCCGCTGCACCGCGCCCTTTAAAGTGGTCAGGATGGTGCTGCTGTGTGTGTTTTACCACAACTAAAAGGAAAAAGGACACATGAGCCTAAGGGCCCTGGACTAACACTTGCCCTTGAGTCGTATTTGACTCCTTCCCCAGTGATACAGAATTCCCCTCAGCTCTGGAGGCAACAGCAGCCATTCCCTTTCAGGTAATGAAGTTATTAGAAATATAAATGCGTCTCCTCTTTGTTTAAAAAAAAAGAAGCTTGTAAAAACTTTCTCCGTTGGAGAATGAAAGAAAAGAGAGCCTGGAAAGAAGACAATTACAACTCGGTCCTGACGAGGAGCAGGGCTCTGTGACACCTCAGTGCAAAGAAATGAAACACCCAGCCTCTGGCTGCAGATCGTAAACCGCTTCCGGAGGGCAGCGCACATTTATCTCTGACAAATACTTTTGTCTACAAGCTCTTCCATGCGAAGGGAAATTTTACATAAAACAGTCATCTCCAAATACTCTCACTCTGGTGTGCCATAACTCAGTGGTTCCCAAATCTGGCGTCGAGTTGCACATCAGAATTCTCTGAGAAGCCTTAAAAAAATACAGATCCCTGGCCCCACTCCAAACCTACTGGAGCGGGTTACCTCGCAGTGAAGCGAGGACTGTGTATTTTTAAAGCTTCCAAGGATATTTTTATGTGTAGCCCGTCTGGGGAAATCACTCCGAGTGGGGGCAGTGCTGGGAACGGCTGCCTGGGCACATGCTCTCACCTCTCCCCACCCTCTCAAAATCCCTTTGAAATGACTGAACATAGAAGTGTGAAAACATCACAGCAGCACTGGAAAACCCGGAAGAGCTCCATCCGCAGGCCAGAGCACTGAGGAACTTCCGGAAGACATAAAGCAGATGGAGTCAGTAAAACCCCAAACTGCTAAAGAGCTGGAAGGGAACAGGATCACTGTTAAATAAGTGCTGCCGGCAGACCCTCAGAATACTCCCCAGGGTCAGAGGCAGACAGATGTGGGTCAGTTGTCTGGGAATTACTGGAGGGTCTGCTCACAATTTCACTCTCAAAGTGCTGACCCTTGAACTGCCCCCAGGTTGGAAATGGTGAGAGAGGAAGGGCAGCGCTTTGGGGGGGGGGTGCATCTGAGCCAGGATGGAAAAGGACCCCATTCCCAGAGGGCAAGTTGCTTCCACACATCACAAAGGAAAGCCAGCGGGGCGGACATCCTTCCTCCTCCCTCCCACAACCTCTGCAGAGATCCCACACTCATGATTTGCATTCACAGTGGTATTTCTAACCTACATTGAGGAAGCAAATCCATTTACAAATTCTCATTTATAAATACGAACTGCCGTCCAAAAATCATAGGAAAAAAGAGAGAGAGAGAGAGAGAGAAAGAAAGAAAGGAAGAAAGGAAGAAAGGAAGGAAGGAAGGAAGGAAGAAAAGAATTTTTGTTTAGTTTAGTTTAAAGACCAAACACAGGCATTAACTCAGGGGCGAAAGTCAATTCTAGAAGTCAAAGGAAGCTCTTTAATTCATAAACAAGAATAAGCCATTGGAAAAGACTACAGACAACTCAGAAGCTAAGCTCACGAGACCAAGAAAAACAGAACAAACCGCGCAGACAGCAGCACCTCGGAAGAGCTGAATAATGGAGTGAACGTGTCTGAAGAGAATTCAGAATAACCGACTCTCTCGATGAGCCACAGAACACTTTTCTCAGGCTGGTCATTACAAAATGTCCCTTGGTAGGCGCCTCCGGCACTCTGTGGGCTGGAGGAGGGCCTGGGGTTGGTGCGGGGGTAGCGGAGAGGGAGGGCCAGGGTCTCCTCGCAGGCCTCCCGAGGGCGGACCTGGTGAGCCCGCTCCGAGCCTTCTGCAGCAGCCTTGCCCAGGCTGTGCCCCTCACCTGCGACGTCCAGGTCCCCCTCACTGCACTAAGGTCCGCCCCACTCAGAGCCCAGCCCAGGGCCCGCTCCCTCCGGGAAGGCTTCCTTCGCTGCCCTTCCCCAGGCTGGCTGACACTTCCTGGGACCCCTGCGCAGCACCGCAACTGAGCTGACCGCGCTGTACCACGATGACCTGTTAGTGCCTCTGTCTTCCTCATGCTCTGAGGGAAATTTTAACCAGAGGCACTGGTTCTATTCAGATACACAGACGTCCTCTAAATACACCTTGCATGTCTGCTGGTAGAACTAAATGCACTGTTCTAACATCTGCCGGAAAACACACAGCAATGGGTCTATCCACGTCGAGTGCAGGCACCTATTCGTCCCCAGTTGGCACTCTCTGAATTCAGTAGGGTGCTGTCACATTTTGGAACTTTCTAAGTTTCCACCAGCTACCTAACAGTTCCCGCAAATGGACCGCTAAGAATTCAGCGCCTCGGCAGAAACCTAGGAAGCCCGGCCACGTAGCAGTCAGCACCGTGCCGTCTCCCCAGAACGGACGTGTTGTTGCATGTGTCCATCTGCTGGGTGCTATCTGAGAGCTACCCAGAGAAAGCCCCAAAGGCACGTTCACCTCTGTGCTGCGGTTTCTCCTCTTCTTGTGTGTCACTCCTGGGCCACTGACCTGCAAAATCAGGCAGCTCTGTCACACCAGGACCATGGCAGGCCGCCTGGGACATGAAAGGACACCGCAGATCGTCTGCGGTCCCAGCTACCTGGGATACGTGTGCCTTGAGGAAAGCGCACAGAAATGTCTTCAAGGCTTGCACTCTCCAATTTTTTCCCCTAGATCCAACATATTCTCTATACCATCTCCTGGACCACCTGCAGCTACAGGAACAGCAGACAACGCCCTTGACCCAAAAGGAGGTTCTCTGGAAGCTCTAGCGGCAGGGAAGGGCTACGCCTACGCCTACGCAGAAACACAGAGCAACTGATTACATGAACGCCTGGACACTGCTGACGTCCTTCTAGCTCAATTTCTGGAGAAATTACACCTTTTAAAGAAAGTCATAAATATTAATCCCATTAATCATATCTTTATTTTGCTGGGGGAGGTGAAACTCCTTTCCAGGTTGGGAAGAAAATTCCCTTAATACAGGCAATTAAGATCGACTCCCTACAGAGCCGGGAGTCCAGAAGTCCAGGTACCCTGGGGACCCAGGAACGTCAGAAGCCCTGGACACCCACATCTGTATCTCCTTCTAAATTATCCCCCATAAGCAAGACAAGGAGTGAGAGAAGTAGGTGCCACCATACACGGAGGAACCTAGGGCTTTGCAGCACCTCGAACAGCGGATATTGTGAGACGTGAGAAACAACATACTGTGAGAAGGAGAAACTATGCTCTCAAAACAGTTGTTGATGGTCGTTAGGCAGGAGTTTCCTAAAGAAAACTGAGTGTCCCTTCCACTGCCGTTGAAAATAAATCCTACTCCCCCAACACAGCTGAAAGGCGTCTGGAACGGCGTCCAACACACGCCGAAAAGAATCTCAGAAGTCTCTCAGAAACGTTAACATTTCTTTCCACAGAAGATAAAACAGAAAAAGATGAAGGGTATTTCCTTTGAAATAACGCTATATGCAGAGCTCACCATCCAGATTCAACCTCTACCTTGTAGAGACACAGCACAGGGACACGGGGTAACACAGGAAAAAGATGCAAACAGAAAACGCACAAAAGCCCAACCGGTCTCGAATCATCAGAAGCACAGACCTAGCGCTCAGGAAGGCACGTGCTCTAAACTCTTCCACACTTAATTCCTAACCCTCCTATGAAAGCAGGTTCAAAGAACAGTCCTGAAGTGAAACTACAGCTCTAGGGGGCGAGGCGGGAGAGAACCAGGAGGGGACCGCTGCTCCGCCTGCTCTGAAAAGCCCGGCGGCACGTCTCAGCTCGGCTCTGCCATCTCCCACCCTGACGCTGAGTGAGACTTCATCGCAATACAAATCTTTGGAAAACAAAATGCATACACGTATACATCCTAATACACAGTCTCTCAGCTGCATTCGTCCCGAGCAGGGCTGCCAAGTTCGGAGTTATGGCCGAATTAGCAAGTGGCTTAGCAACCAGACAGCCTGCCACATCAGAACCGCTTAGGAGCCATGCAGATCACAGGTGATGATTTACAAAGAAATTCTAATCCAGCTGCCTAGTGCAGTAAGTGTCACACAAAGGACAGCCAGATACGTGTCTACATTCCCATGTCCATGTTTTACAAAAGAACACGACCAAAGGTATAATTATAAAAAGGACACACTACACTAATCCCATCATTTTAGCTTTAGAGGCACTGATACACACCGGCGCTTTGTTTTTCCACAAAGAACTTTGTCACAGGCGGCTCCATCATTTTCCAATTCAAAATCTTCCATGTTAATAAAATTCCCCAAGGTATTTACAGTCTGAATTTCAAGCACCAGAACCCACACAATCAAGTGACTAATACATGACAAGCTGGGAGGTTCCACTTACGTTGATATATTGTTGAAGCTGAGAAACAGACGCTGGAGGCAGGGCAAATTATCCACATCTCTCTAGAAGGAAACAGAAAGCAAAAATCTATCAGCTGAAAGGAAAAAGAAAATTATAATTGTCTTCTTGCTCTGCTGCTGAAATAGAGTCATTTCTATTCACTGCAGCCTTGCTAGACCACTGATCTCTGCCGGACACTGAGCTCCATCCTCCTTCACTGCAGACTAAATGGGAGGGCTCAGTACATCCGCAGAACGAGCTGCACCACTTGCAAGGTAAAAGCTCCGAGAACAGAGGAGACGCTGCTGCTGGCCTCTTCGAGCATGCTTTTGGGAAAGGAGCCAAAGTGCTACTTCAGCATTTCAACTGTGGCACAAATACAGTATGACCAAACATTTGTTAAAAGTCACTTTTAAAAGGAAGCCTTCCAAACGCTTTAAATTTTAAATTTATGCAACTGGCTTTCCAAACAGTACTGAGAATTTCAAAGCTATTAACCTCACTGTTCCCAAACCCTCTGAAATACACCACCCAGTTACAGATGAACCAAAACACCGACAATTCCCCCGTCAAACTGAACAATCATAATGAGCATCCCTGAAGGACACGGTAAGGGCAGTCCCCAGCCTCAGCAAGAATCAGAGGCCCTTATAATTGGGAATCGACACTGTTCCGTTCGGTGCAGCACCCCAGGGCAAAACACTGCTGCTTAAACATAGTTACCCCTAGCAAATACTGAAATGCTTTGGCTCAAATGATTTTTTTTAAATCACAAAGCTACCTAATTTCATTAATTGAAAAGACACAAACCTTCTGAGAGGCATGACACAATCTGGAGCACCAGAATCTTAAGAGGAAGCTTAGTAACTGCTTAGGCCGCAAGCCCATCATTCACATGAGGACAAGCAAACAGCTGAAGCTGCTGCAGCGACGGGGCGGGAGCGGGCTGGGCAGGTGACCCAGGATGCACACTGGCCCAGGGGCCGAGACGCAACCAGACTCCTGTCACCCTGACTTCTAAGACTCTGCTCTTTAAAATACCACACACACTGGCCCTTCTCGTGTAAGTGTTTCTTCATTTTTAAAGGCAGTATCATTTGCAATAATCCCTCATTACATGGGATTGAATGATGCTAACACAACTACACACACTTCACATATTATCGTGAACAATATTTCAGCCCAAAACTTGTTTTACTGTTTCCATAAGTCATCATCTTCTTTCCTCCCTCCTCTTCTTCCTCCCTTTTAAAACTACCATTTCCAAGACCCCAGTAAAATTTAGGCAATGTATTGAAATTACAGACAAGCTCAGCCTTTCCAAAAACAGTTCATTTATCTATTTTCAAAAGCTTGTTATACAAAGAAAATATAAGTGACAGAGCTGTGGCCGAGCCATGTCTCGTTCGTTTTCGAGAGGAACAGGAGAAGTGAACCTGGCTTAAGACATTGCCCCGTACGGCTTCCCTCTGCGCCATTCCAGACTTCCCTCAAACCCTCAGAGCCTCATCCATGCAAGATGAACACAGCTACCAGGGATGAGGGCCCGCCTCGGGGGACCATTCACTTGGCATCACCATTCACAGGCCCAGCCCTGAAAAGCCTGCTCCATGGGTGTGACCACAGTCTGCAGAAAGCAGGCACGCTGCCCAATTCCCCTCCGTGGGCAACAGGCTCTGCATGGCGGCAGGCTCCTTGTATCAGCTCTGCCAGCTCCGTCTCTGATATTCCCGCAAGTGGTGGGGGGTGCCGAGTGATGGGCCAGTGGGGGGGCTCTTTTTATTCCAGGGCCCTATGTTCCAAAGGAAATGGTAGCTTGAAGTTTGGAGTCACAACCAGCTTGAAAGCCCCCCTCTGTAATCCTGAGGAATCTCTTCTCCTCAGTTCTTCCTGGATTCTACCTGAGATATTCCTGGGCACAAGCACAGTTTGCTGACATCTGACTGGGAGAAACTGAGGAGCAGCAGCCTGAATCTCCTTTGAATCGAGGCACCTTAAAAAAAACACACTTGTCTCTTTGAGCCCAGGCCTATCACCTTCAGAGACTAGACCACAGATACCTCTTAAGACATAATTTGTTGCTATTAAAATATAAACTCAAATTACATCAGGCTACAATTTACGAGAAAAGGGTTTTTTTTATTTATATGACTATAGCGCTTTGTATTTATCTTCATTTTAAAAATAACATTTTACCAGAAGTCTTCGCCAAATTTTCAAAATTATTAACTATCAATATCTGATAGAGCTTTAAAAAATATTCACAAGTTGAAAAACTAAAAATCAAAATCAACTACATGTACCTCGAACCCATTTTAGTAGACAGCCTTTCCAGAACTTTAAAAAGCAAAATAATTACTGATAATCATTTTTGTTGTTCCAAATTTCATTTCTATAGGAAAATTATAAATTTCTTTAATTTTTCTAGCAATTCCAAGGTATACTTTGTAATAAATTTCTAGCATTACAATAGACAAAAAGAAAACATCCTATTTATCATCTCAATTATGTTAGAGACGGAGGACAGAGGGCTCCAGAAGGGGCATCTCCAAAGGGAGACAATGAAACAGATTACCTGAGAATCTGCCCATACAGCGAGGGATTTTAGAGATCGGTTGGGGAGTTTAGGCATTAATTAATGGTACTTAAATAGAACCCTCAATTAATGGGAGAAGTGAGACAGTTATTAAAGCCAGAGAAAACAAGAGTTGAATTTGACAGTCCAGTGTGTACTCTGGAAAACTCATCTTGCTGTTCCAGACAATCCTAATCTACTGTGTCATAAATTCATCAACCTGAAGTCACTGTACTGAAAGACCCATCTTAAACTGGACCCCCAAGAAATCTCAAAAATAAGTATCTTGCTTTGGCCCTTGAAGACATGACGAAGACCAAGTGCAGGCAGTGCGCTCACTCGTCAGTAATCAGCTCAGCTTTTCTTCGTCCACAGCTTATTCTGGTGCTATTTTGGGGAAGCCAGCACTCAACAATCTGCTTATCCAAAACGTGTAATTATTTTAGAACGATGGGGAAAGGGGAAATAAGGGGTTAAAGATAATATAAGAAAGCTAAATCCTTATAACTTTGAGAAAAAGTCAGAACATCTATTTCATTAGCAAATGTTAACCCTTCCCAGTAGTCCTTTCCCGGAGGCGCCTGCTCCCGAGCGGGGCCGCCGCTGGGAGGCAGTCATGCGCACACACTTAAGGAAAAGAGGAGGAAGTACGATACTTGCATACAGGGAAATACTCATAACTCAACTGTTAGCCTGCTCACACTGTCAACTTTATTATACTTAATACAGCACTATTCTGAGAATCACATTCAAAATATTTTTTGAAGACTCTGAACCAACGTATATATTTAAAAATATAATCCTTTAAAAACAGACTTAAAAATTACTTACTACAAGATTACTGAGGATTATAATTCCTTATTTTTCAAAAGAATAATGACTTGCCATTTGAGAAACATGCTTGTCCTACTCAGCTCAGACTCTGATTTCTACATTCCTAAACTTCACGAAAGAACCAAATGATTCAGCAATCTGACCATGCGCAGAATGTCTAGTCCTGGAGCTATTTTTGGACCAGCCTCCTGCAGAGGACAAGGAAGAAGCAGGGCAAAGGTGCTGGCACGCGTCAAGGAGGACAAAGAAGACCATGATAAAGTCACAGCCACTCTCAGTGTGACCTATTCTGTTATACAAGAAAGTTAGTGGAAAAATATATAGGGGTAGTCATTTTAATTTTGAGAACTAAAAACAGATTTATTAACAAACATTAAATAAGTTTGGAAAAAACAAAGAAAAAAGTATTCTTTTTTATAAAAAGGTTTACTAAGTTAATTCCAAAATAACTACTTGCTACAGCCATCACCTTGTAACACAATGAAGAATAACGTGTGTAAACCCTCATATCAGCAGCTCTAACCACACATGTACATGCCATGACGAAATGTCCACTTTCTGCCTCTATCACCCAAAGGCAGTAATATGCGTATCTGCTTTTGATATTTATTTACTACCCACTACATGGCAACAGATATCAGTTCATCTAATTGCAAGCTACTCTCAGTCTTATTTTCTTCTATATACTGTGTAATTCTCCCCAAAATAAAAAGAAACAAAAAACCAGACTAGTAAGTAGGCACTGGTGCTTTGACTGCAGAGATTAACAGTCTCTATAATCTAGAAGAGCTAGATATAATAGCTATGAGGGAAATAGAAAAAGCCTCAATTTCATACCCATAGGCTTTCCCTCATTTAAATTTACATCACATGCATGATCTAACAAGACTCCTTGTTAAAAATGGTCCTTGGCATTCACGCCCCTACCACTCCTGGCAAAACTCTCTGGAAAGACACAAACACAGCTCAGGCTTTATGGCATTTGGACTACTCCAAAATGACTCACCTACGGAAAAAAACTACCACGAGCAAGAGTCGGCAGAAATTTCAGGCAGCAAATGTAAAACTTTCTATTAAGAAAATAGAAAAACTTGATAAAGACTATGGAATATCTATGTTTAAGATTATTAGAGAAATAAAATGAATCAAAACATGAGAAAAATAAGGTGTTATAAATAGAGATTTAGGTATTTTTTTTAATCCACGTAGAACTTTTAGAAACAAAAAATTGTGGTAGTTATTAAAAACTCAATGGGTGGACTGAAAATCAGATTAGACAAAACTGAAGAGGAAGTCAGTGAACTGAAAGACAGCATTAAAGAAGTAAAAATAATGCAGAGATGTAGCAGAGAAAAATAAGAATGATGGAATTCTAAGAAACAAAGACTAGAATAAGAAGGTCCATGCCATGTCTAGCAGGTGTTTAAGAAGTAGAAAAAGAGAAAGTACACTTGCATAAAAAAGTCATTGAACTATACAGTTAAGATTGTGCATTTTCATAGGGAACTATACTCAATAGCTTGTAATAACCTATAATGAAAAAGAATATGAAAAAGAACATATACATGCATAACTGAATCACTATGCTATACACCAGAAACCAATACAATATTGTAAATCAACTATACTTCTAATTAAAAGAAAATTTTTTAA